TGTCCTCAGCTGAGCACTGGGAAAAAACTGCAACTTGGAACATACACTCCCCAGCTGCTGTTGTACAGATAGGAGGAAGTGGGGATGAAGGAGCAGTGTACATGGATAAAAACAAAGACTTACCTAGTGCAACATTCTGTTCACACAATTACCAAACAGGATGGCTGAGACCCTGCATCAGATGCTACAGTGGGTAACTTTATAATGGTGATGCTAAATCACTGACAAGATACACAATGATATTAGTGAACTGTGATAATATCCAATGGGGCACTTCACAAGATGTTCCATTACACAATATAGGGACACTTTGTGCATCAGGACATGTACAATGGCCATGCTGTTAACTCTGCTTGAGCCATGGACCAAATGGGATTGCTACATCTCTGCTCTCTTCCTGAGAATGTGACACAGGGGGGAAGCAGACGGGCGGCCGTGGGCTGCCCCCGGGAAGCTGCGCTGCGGGGCCAAGGTATCCCCACACCTTGGCCCTGTAGCGCAGCTTCACCGCCCCTGAAAGGAACGCTAAATTGGTGCTCCTTTCACAAGTCGACGAAGGTGCGCCGCAAAAGGCTGCGGTGTACCTTCGGCGACTCTTCCGCCGCAGCATGTGCGAACACTGCACCGGGAGGTCCTCCTCGGAGCGCCGGCCATGCAGAGGGCCAGCTGCTCCGAGGACGACCTGGGGAAGGGGTTGGGGTGCCGATCGTGCGGCTGCCCCTCCCCTTCCCTGCCCCCTGAGACGGCCCTTTAAGCCATCTGTTTAGGGGGACAGTGGCACAATTCAACTTTATACAATCTTTGTTCACAATTATATATTTCCCAACTGTAGACCAGTCAATACTTATGGGAAGCCTGCCAGTAGGATATGAGTATAATTTCACCCTATGTGTCATGATTTCCAGGAACTGAGTGCAACTGAACACTCCTGTTGTTGTGTGCCTTCAAGTTGTTTCCATCTTATGGTAACCCTAAGGCGAAACTATTACTGTTTTTTTTTAAGCAAGTTTCTTTGTGGGTGTGTGAGTTAGCATTGCTTCCCTCAGAGGCAGAGAGACTGTGACTTGCTCAACATCATCCAGTGAGTTTCATGGCCCAGTGGGGATTTGAACCCTGGTCTCCAGATTCATGGTCCAATACTCAAACCACTATACAACACTGATATATAGAAGCAGAATGCCCTTAAATCTGTTTTCATTATTGCAAAGATCTGATAGAGAAGCACAGGTCTAAGATGATTGTTCAGCAGTTAGACTTTTTTCAATAAATGTTCGGAATAAACTTTGGTAAAACTGTTGTTGTTGTTGTTGTTGTTGTTACTATAGTCCCTGAATCTCCTAGAGTCTAGACCAGGGGTAGGCAACCTTTTTGAGCCAGGGGCCGGGTTGCTGTCCCTCAGACAATTGGGGGGTCAAAGCACCAAAAATAAATAAATAAATAAATAAATAAATAAATAAATGCATGTACACTCTTTCAGCCTCAGAAAAGCCAGGGCAAAACTCCTGTGGAGATTTTGCCAAGAAAACCCCAAGAACAAGTAATAACAACAATAATCAGTATCATCATGGCAGGTGGCAGTGGCGGCAGGACCGGCCTGGGGCCGGTCCAAAGGCCTTGGGGGGCCACATCCGGCCCTTGGGCCTTAGGTTGCCTACCCCTGGTCTAGACAGTATAGCCACTGACACTGACTAAGGAATTCTGGGTCTTTTAATTTAAAAGAGCTATGCTTGCTATCCCCAGTTAGGGCTTGTTTTGAAGAGGGATCCTTCATAGAAGAATTAATTTTGTGACAAGATTTTAATAGTACATAAAACCAGTGTGGGAATGGAGGGGCATGTATTGAATGAAATCTTTGCCCTGAATCACTTGCTGCTCTGCTACACAGTAGCCTAAGAATTCTGAAAATTATATTATTTCATACAAATATAATTAGCACATAGTTTGGTGTTTTCTCAATTTAATTTATATACTTTCATCCCTATACAGAAAAATAATTGAATTAGGACAGAATGAGTGGTTTAGAAAGAGAATTCTAGCCATTATTTCAACATAGCCTCAGTGGTCTTTTTTGCTTTGTTCAGTTGAGTTAAATAATAATAACAATAAGGCATAATGTGTACCATACATACACATGAAATAGATTAATTTTACAGTATTATTTTACAGCATAGTTTGATGGAGAATGTAATGAAATTCCTATAACACCAGCTAAGAGGCTTTGAAAAGATTCCCTCATTGTCCCATTATGACTCCATAAAACTAAAGGTGCAAAGGGGTTTTGTTGTTTTCGTAATAAGCAGTTAATTTTGTATTAAACTGGAAGAACTGAAACAGCGTTTGTATGGTGAACTGAAAAAGTCTGGGTTAATTTGGCCTACTTTCGCTTCACCACCTGGATTTTCTATTGATCTGCACTGCACTAAACTGTTGGCTGTTGTATTAAAAGTACATGAAGGGAAGCCAATGCTGAATCTGGTTTCATTCCACCACTTGCCTCATCCACTCATATCACCATTCAGCTTAATCCTGATCAGCAGAAGAGGCACTGTGTTCCACTTGGTTGTGTATGTATGCTTGTGCCTAGATCCACGCAAGCTAACTCCCAAAAAACAGCTGTGATGAATTCTCTTTACAAAATGTCCTGGGAGGCTTGTCATACTGCCCTGTCAAAATTATCAAGCCAAATCAATGATGGCTGACTTTCCCAAGGATTTTGTAACTGGCAACGGCTACTCTAGATCTTGCTGTCTCACAGCATTGCCAAGAGGTAAATGTGGCAAACATACCTGACATTTGTTTATTTTAATGATTTTCGCTAATCCCCTGGCTGGGGATTTTGGGGACACAAGTCCAAAAAAGCAATTTTCCCATGCTCTGGTATATATGTAAGAAACAAACCTTGCTTTGGATGTGCATCGTTCCTGTATAACTATTTATATCCGAAGCCGCCCCGTTTCACACTATAGTGCTATGATTCTACTTCAACTGCCATGGCAACAACCTATAGAATTCTGGAGTTTGTAGTTTGGTAAGACACTAGAGTTCTCTGGCTGGGAATTCTAAACTGCAAACCCCAGGATGCCACAGGATGTTTCCATGGCAGCTAAAATGGAATCACAGCAGTGGGAACAATCTTCTCCACCATGGACATCCAGGAGTCCTGGGCTCCATGTAGTATGCCCTGGCTGGCTTGTGATGATGGGAGTTGGAGTCCACCAAATTTGGAAGGCATCACACTCATGAACGCTAATGTAGAAACTTTTAGTTTTTAAACAGGTACCAATAATTATAAATGTCATAAACTAGGAGTTTATCACGCACCAAATAAACCTGACTTACCTCTTCACCACCTGGATTTTCTATTGACCTGCACTGCACTAAACTGTTGGCTGAGTTAAATTCGATTATGAGATGGAGTCAGGTATTATTGAATGCATTAATGTATAAATATAAAATTAAAAAAACAATTAAACAATTGTAAAAGTTAAAACAATTATGCATTACAATTTAAAATGGATTAAATGCTCTATACCAGGGGTAGGCAACCTTTTTGAGCCGGGGCTGGGGTGCTGTCCCTCAGACAATTGGGGGGCCGAAGCACCATAAATAAATAAATAAATAAATATAAATAAATAAAAATTTAAAATTAAATAAAAAATAATATATAAAGCAAAGCAAAGCAGCTTCATTTATATACCGCTTCATATCGCACATGGGATGTCTAAGCGGTTTACAACTGTGAGCTGATTGCCCCCCAACAAGCTGGGTACTCATTTTAGTGACCTCGGAAGGATGCAGGCCTGAGTCGAGCCTCAGCCCTGGCTGGTATTGAACTCGCAACCTTGTGGTCTATGAGTGAGTGGCTGCAGTACAGGCATTTAACCACTGCGCCATGCATGCACACTCTCTCAGGCCCAGAAAAGCCATGGCAAAACCCCTGTGGAGATTTTGCCAAGAAAACCCCAAGAACAAGTGATAACAACAATAATCAATATTATCATGGTGGGTGGCGGCGGCAGCGGCAGCAGGGGCAGTGGGGGGCGGCAGCAGTGGCGGCAGCAGGACCGGACTGGGGGCAGTCCAAAGGCCTCGGGGGGGGGGGCGCATCCGGCCCCCAGGCCTTAGGTTGCCTACCCCTGCTCTATACAAACCTTAAAATCTGAATTACACAGTATTTATAGCTCAACCCTTGTCAATTTGAAATAGCCTGATGGCACAAGAATGTTTTCATTTGCCACCAAAAGCAAAGCAGGGATGGGGCCATCCTGGCTTCTCTAGGGAAGGAGTTCCAGAGCATGGGAGCAGTCATTGAGAAGGCCCTCTCGTTCCCACCAAACGTGCCTGAGAGGGTGGTTGAACAGAGAGAAGAGCCTCTCCAGATGATATCAACACTCTAGTGGACTTGTAAGGGGAGATATGGTCCTTCAAATAACCTGGACACAAGCTGTATAGGGTTTTATAGGTCAAAGCTCTTTATCATTGAGCTCTAGCCTTTTTACAAATTAACCAATTTTTCAGAGTTGTGGAAGTTTTTTTTTAAATCCCAACTATTTTCTCTTTCTGTTTCTCTCTTGCATTCATGCTCCTTCATTCTTTTCCTCTCAGTCTTTTCCATCTCCTATTTGCAATGATATTGGCTGTGAAGCATGTACCAACAGCTAGGTCATCAGCTTCAGTATACCTACCTATTTTTATGTTTCACACACAAAGTACAAATAGCTGCTGCTAGCAGCTACATCCCATCAGTACAACACAGTATCATTATATAAGCCCTGGAGACATGGTTGGCATAAAAGCACTGCCCTCAACACCACTGAGCACCTGGATGCAAGTTAGGCCAAAGTATACTAGCAGCAATAGCAATAGCAGCTTCATTTATATACCACTTTATACTGTGCTATGCAGTCTCTAAGTGGTTTACAACTGTAAGCTAATTGCCCACAATAAGCTGGGTACTCATTTTTGCAACCACAGAAGGATGCAAGCCTGAGTCGAGCCTGAGCCCTGGCTGGTATTGAACTCACAACCTTGTGGTTTGTGAGTGAGTGGCTGCCGTACAAGCATTTAACCACTTTGCCACCAGGGCTTCTTTGTGTTTCATACCTTTATGTGTTGAATGTGAAGATCTGAAAAAGGTTCTGTAATCACATTGAGGTGAACATGGTTGCAAACTTCCTGCAAGCAAGAAACCAGCTTTTGAGGGTGCTTGTGGGAGTAGAATAAGTATTTTCATGTGTTTTCATGCATGGGAAGATTTTCTTGATAGCTTTCTGCCTGAAAATTACACTCTTTTTTAATGGAGGGATGTCAGAGGATTTGCAGGGAGGCTTCAAGGGGCACAAAAGAGACCAAGGGATGCATGCAGCCCATATATAAAAATTTCATTTTGTCCACCTCTGGTAAAAAATGTCTGTGGTTGCGATGTTGTTATTTAGAAGAAAGGCTGCATCCAGAAAGAGGGTTTCTAGCATCACCAATGAAAACATCTTTAACAGATTTTTTTTTATGATAAGAAAAAGTCAGAAGAAGCAGAGGGAAAACATGGGAGCTTGCAAAGGGAAGACAACAACATTTGGACACACTGTACAATTCCACAGTTTAAAAAGCCTTCCCTGAGAACACCATAACAAAGTTCTTGGCCTGAATCTTGTTGGTTAGACTTTAGATCCAGTGAACCAATTGTTGAACAGTGTCTACTCATAGATAAATCCCACAGATTCAATATATGTATCTATTCTAGTTGAGACTAAAAACAGAAATTTTGTTAGCCACCTTGAGTCTCTATACTGGGAGGAAGGTAGGAAATAAATAAATAAATAATTCATTCATTCATTTCCTTCCATGGCTCAGAGCCTGCATCAAAATTGCACAGTATAATTGTCCACATGTAAAATCATACATTAATTATGCCACACAATTCCTGTGCTGAATAGGGATGGAATGAATATTTAAAAATACTCAAAAAGAATTAAACAAACAAACAAACATTTTTTTCAGGTGCTGGGAAACCCTGACAAAAGGAATCCCAGAATGATGAGAATCTTTGTAGTTTGGGATGTATTCCATGGAAAATTCACAGAAAGCAGCATTTTCTGCATTTTCTGTGCAGAAAAGCTGTTTCTAGTGCAATTTTTTTTTTACTGTAATTAGGTACCTATTCTGTACAAAAAACACATACAGTTCAGTTGCATAGAAAACAGTATTTTTTGCACAAAACAGCTTTTTCTGTGTAAAACATAATGTTTGTCTTCAGAAATATGTTTTTTTTTGCACTGAAAATGCTGTTTCCTGCTCCAAAATGCTTCGCAAAGCAACCAAGTGACAATTTTGTGCATAATAAGTTTTATTTGCAAACAGGCTTGAAACATTTCATTGATAAATTACAAAAAAAAAATATTGTTGCTTCCTTCAAGAAGAAAATTAGTGAAGAATTGCATCCCTAATGCTAAATGGCAACATTTCAATGCTGAACCAAAACACTCAATGTGCAACTAAATTCAGAGCCAAATGCACAATGTACACAAATGTGTAATGATCACTGCATATCTACATGTCCATGCACAATGCACAACTGTGTGCACAATGACAGCACATGCAGTATTCCACTTCCATAGCACTGAATTGAACACAGACCTTCCACACTGGACAAAAATATCCAACCAGTTCCATAGAAGAACCTACACATGTCACCAATAGGATTCCAACCCATGACAACCTATTGTCTAATGAACATCTGCTCCTTTAGTATGATGGAGAAAGAAAAGAGAGGATATATAATGGTTATACTTCACAATTAAAATAAAGATTTGAGAAGAAAAACATGCTTTTCAATGTGTTGGATGGCATTATACCAATTTCCTAGACTCTTCTACAAGCTGACATTCTTGCTGTTTCCACTTCTGTGGAATCATGTGTTCATTATGCCATTGAAGGCCTAATATACTTGCAACAAGTGCATTTTGGTTGGCTAATAAAGGTATCACTGATGGATTTTTGTTTGAGTTTGCTAAATGGCCAACACAGCTACCCCTGAATGTAACCTCCAGTAAACCTTATCATTAAACCCTTTTATACAGAATCTCACAATTAGTTACTGTTCTTCTTCTTTTTGTTGTTGTTGTTGCTGCTGCTGCTGTTGTATGACTGTTGAATGTTGTATGACTGGAGTATGTATTTTCTGGAGTGCTGGATTCCTGGAAGTTGGGTAAAACTGGATATTCCTCATTAGCTTATCAGGGGAGACTGTGTAAAAGAGTAAGATATCTCATTCCTCTTATCTTTTATTCAGTACTCATCCACAGACATTTTGGAAAATATAGTTAATCAGCATACTATAAAAGTAACTAATAAAGAACTTAATTGGGGTGTAAAATAGGATGTGATGGCCATTATAAGGGCCTGAAACCTTCCCACACCCTCTTCATAGTACATAGAATGGAAAACTTGTTTTTTTTATATTTTGTAGAGTATCATGGAACACAAGAAAAGCACTTGAAAGATCAAACTTAATTCTTATTGTTTAGAATGCCATTTCAAAAGGAAAGTTAAGTTATATTTTAGCACTCAACACCTACACACCAAAGTACATAACCTAGATGATCTAATCTTTAAGACTGGAGTAGAAATGAGCTAATGTTGTTAGGGGATTGTATGCACAATATGGCAAGAGATCAGTAACAAAGCAGGGAGGGTGAACTCAGCTGCTAGCAATAAAGAAGCACCAAGTTGCAAAATGCATTAACCATTTCTTTGCATTGTTAACTTGGAGCACTTGGAAAAGGAAGATGTGTAAATGTCGACTTTGACACTAGGGCACATCCATTATGATAATGCCTGCTTTTGTGCTTCATAAGAAAAGATTCTCTGGAATGAAAAAAGAACATGTGCAATTTTTAGACAGTCTGAAAGCTGCACTGACAATCTCATTTACTCATTGGATGAACTTTAAATTAAACTAAAATGGACATGTAATATCCTAGAATTTTAAAATTAAATGAATATGTACTATCCTAATTTTAGTTTTAACCAGAACTTGAAAAAGTTACCTTTTGGGCTACAACTCTCTAGTGGCTGAGAGAGAGAGTTATAGAACAAAAGTTTCCAAGTTTGGTTTGAAACTAAAATTAGGATATTGCCTGTAGAGTGGGTAGTAGTGCCTACTGGCCGGGGGCTTCTGGGAGCTGTAGTCCAAAAAGTAACTTTTCATGCTTTGGTTGTAAAAGCTTAGAGTTGGTCTCCAAAGCTTAAGAAACTGAATTTGTGAGCTGTTAAATGTCAGGACTGACCTCTGGGGGTTTTGAGGAGGGATGATGTGGTGAAGGGCAGGCTCCAGGTTATGTTTTATTATACAAGAAGTTTAATTGTTCTGGCGAGGAAGCAAAAGTGACTCATTTACTTGAAGTGGGTCCCTGTCTCCCAATGCAGATTTTGACTGGAGGAGGATGCAGCTTGCAATAATATCTTTAAAAGAACTGAACTGCTTTGCTTCACTGTTTTAACTACTTCCATCTAGATTCATTTACTTTGGACACAAAAATTGAGAAAGGTCCAAAGATAGCAAAAAATCTGTGCTTTTGTCACTCTTTTTGAACCTTTTTCTCTCTGTTTAAATTATGATGTTTTGCCAAAGAAAATTGTATATGCCTTTTCTGAGCTCCTTTTTAATGGAAGAATATTAAATTGTTTATAGTGTGAAGCCTGAAAATTCGTCAAGGTTGTGATATGGCATTTTCTACTTCTTTTTTGAGTTATCATCTAAAAAGCATCCCAGACTCAGCTATTTCATTGTGTGTCAGGCAAATACTTCATTTTTGTTGTCGTCACTTCTCATTATTGATTTGAATATTCTTAATTTATATTGATCCAACAGAAGACAATATAATTTGTATCTAGCATTTGCTATCTGCTTGGCTTGGCATCTGAGCAGATTCTTAATGACTTATGTCTATTCATTTCATTCAATAATTATCTTTGCATCATTTGCTTACAACAAACACCCAGTTTATAGATTATTAGAACTGCATCTGAGAGAAAAATGACTGTGCAATAAAGCATACAACTTTGTTTGCACTGTAATCAACTTCATATCAAATTGATTATAACTGACTATTCTCCTCTGAGAACAGGAAGACTGAAGTACAGACAAGATTAAGAGTATAGTCTGTTTTAGGCAGAGTGGGGAGAGCAGGTTACCTCAGGGATGCAAGTTAAGTTAAATAAGAGAAACCTCTTAGTTATTCAGTTTGCTATTATGATATTCTTACTGCTAGCAATGGGAAGAGTCACATTTAGGATGTTATGCCTTGGGCCATAATAATGTGTCTGCTTTAGGTTTTATGGCCTTCTTGGCAGATGCTTTGGGGGCATGGAATTCCCATCCATGGAAGGCTAGGTGGATCCATTTCTGCTCAACCTCTGCTGGCAAATAGACAAATGTCTATTTAAATAGCAATTTATTGGTTGTGCAGAATGGATTTTTAATGGCGTACATGGGAGGCAGTGGCTCAAGTGGTTAAGATGCTGATCCTGTTGATTGCAAGATCGGCAGGATGGCAGTTTGAGGACTAGTGCTGCATGATGGGGTGAGCTCCCATCACTAGTCCCAGCTTCTGCCAACCTAGCAGTTTGAAAGCATGCAAATGCAAGTAGATAAATAGGTGCCACTTCGGTGGGAAGGTAAACAGCGTTTTGTGCAATCATGCTGGCTACATGATCACAGAGTAATCTCTGACAACACTGGCTCTTCGGCTTAGTAACAGAGATGAGCACCACCCCCTATGGTCGGACACAACTTGACAACCTTGTCAACGGTGAATACCTTTACTTTACCTTTATGTATGTCATATTTTTATCTTTATAGTTAGATTTTTTTAAATGATTTTATATTCTTTTATATCAAAGGTGTTTAACAAAATGGAGGCTGTAGTCAAGAAATCAAATCTAGGACTTGGAAAGACAATTATGAAAGAACTAGATAAGATCCTTAAATATAAGGATTTCTCACTGAATATCAAAGTTAGAATCTTCCATGTCCTAGTAGTTCTGATTTGTATGGTGTGAAAGCTGGACATTGAGGCAAGCTGGCAG